AAAGCTCTCTGACTATCAGAAGGGTGGAGGGGAGTACTGGGTGGTTCTGGAAACAGAGCTCTTTTCCCTGAGGTCTTACAGCGGAGCCTGGAAGGCCTATAAGGTCCAGTCTGACCCTAAGAGTCTGTGCTTCTGAATTGTGAATAATCCCACTTCAGTGAACCTTTCAAACACTGAATTTTCTTGAACTGGGTGCTGACAAACCTGTAGCTTTTACTTCAGGACAAGCCCATGCAGGCAATAAATTGTGTGTTCAGTTATATGATTTATGGTGGACTGAGGTCATCAAGCAGAAGCAGCGTGACCACTTGCTAGGGATGCTATAGAGGGGATTGCTGCACTCACTGGGGAGAGGACTGAACTAAATTGATCTAGAAGGCCCTTTCAGCTCTATGATTCTCTGGTTCTCTGGCACATGCATGTTTGCAATACTTACAGTGATAACAAGATGAGTATATAAAACAATATACACAGACTCCAACTATGTAAATAAAGACAACATTAAATGACAATAGACCTCAGGTTAAATACAATCTGGCTTTATATCCTCAAGGCCTAGCACACAGTAGGTCTTTAATGAATGCTTGTTGAATAGGAAAAGTTTGTACTTCCTACTTAGAATTAAGGCACACAATTTTAAACAAAAGTATCTTTTTGTCCAAGTTTTTTCTTTTTTTTCTGCAGGGGCGGGTGATGGTGGGAGTATCCTTTCTTTTTGTGTGTTCATGTTAATATTTTCTTGTGAAAACAAAATTTGGTAAAGCAAAAAGATTAGTAATTGACTTGAGGCAGTGACCAACAGCCATCATTAATGACTAGCTGGTGCTTTGGGATTCAGTTCTCTGATAGCAAAGGCTTGCTCTATCGGTCGGTATCTGTACCACGTCAAGATTCACTGTTTGTTAGAAATGGACTCCTAGTGCCTGTCTAGCTCATCTCCCCAACAGGGATCTAGGTTCACCCCCTCCTATGTTTTTCTAACCTGAAGGGGAGATTTAAAATTTGATGCATTGCTAGACTGTCCTATAAATAGAATCTGAATGTTGGAAAAGAAGCTGATGTAGCCTGAAAACCAGAGATAGCTTTGGGGAATTCTCTCCATCCTTCTCAGAGAGTAGAGAAAGATTATACTTGGAGTTAAACCCAACTGAACTAAATCCCCAGACTCAGCTCTGCTTCTAACCCACTGTGTGCCCTTGGGTGAAACGGTTACCCTGTCTGCAGAATGAGGGAGCTGGGCTAACGTATTCTAAGATCACTGTTTTAACTCTAACATGTTACGATTTTAAAATTCCACTTTCAAAACCCCTGACCAGGCAGCAACGTGCCTCGCCTTTATACTTCTGCTGAGATATAATTAAGAATAAATCTTGTCATTCCCTCAGCGTATTCTATAAAGTGCAATTTTGCTAATTCAAAATCAAAATAACATTTTACCAAACAGTGTGCACACGCACTGCTATTCAGGAGTGAAAAGAAGTTCTCTGGCCCCCAGACAACTTATTGTCTACTGCCTTGTATACCTGACAAATATAGAAAAACGAACATGTCTGACCGATTCCCTGACCCCTCGACAATGGGCCTCTTTGTTAGCCTTTAATATCCTTATCAGGTCTGTCTAGACACCCTGACAGCAATTGTCCCTGGTAATGTCAAAATGCCCTCTGACCCATCTACTCATCATCCGACTCAAGCAGAAACACATCAAGAGGTTGGCCACATGACACAATTAGCTTCACAGTCCACAGGACACACCTGAGTCTACGATGAATTATACATCTTAAGGCAGCATATACATACCCACCCACCATACTGGAGAACTATCAGACCTGGTGTAAACAGGAAATCGTCTGCATGAATAATGCAGCAGCTTGGAGAGCCAAACAGACAAGAGAGGGCCGTCACCCTGAAAACAAGAGGGTCACCCCTCAGTGCCCCAAATGTCCAACAGCCAAATGTGGCCCGTGGGAAAGAGTTCGTTCTTGTGCCACGGCACCAGCTCGCTCCACACACTGAGACGGAGCCCAAGTTGAGCGCTCAGAAAAAAACAAGCACACGTTTGTGACCAAAAGGGATTTCTTCACCACAGAGCAGCCTGTGCCTCAGAAGAGCGGTTTAAGGCAGACGAGTAGAAATCTTCACATTAAAGGCCGAACTTGGCATCAGATCAGAGCACCTGCTCTGTTATTAACGAGCCATGCTAACGTGGGCAGGTTACTTATTTTTGGAGAGTTTTGTCATCTACTAAATGGGGATTTTACTTACTACATCGATCTCATAAGAGCTGTGGTGATTAATAGATGATAAAGTGCCTTACAAATGGTAAAATTGGGTGTGACAGGTACAGAATGAGCAACAAGACTGGGAGTTAGCGGTGCTGGGTTTCAGCTCTGCTGAAATCTACCAGCTTTGTGACCTTGACCACGTCTCTTTATATCTGTGGACCTCAGTCCCCTCCTCTGTAGAATGGGGATGATACAACCGTAGCCTGCTTTACAGGGATCTCATAAAGAAAGCACTTTGTAAATGTTTAACCCCACTTTAAACAAGGGTTATTGTCATGTAAACATAGGTATCACTGCCATCACAGTCGACAACATGAACCGAATCCCTCAAAGCAGGTGCAGAAGATATCTATGGCTGCTCATCAGAGTAACTTTGCACCGACAGAAAGAGAACATGAACTATCAGGCATGGAATGTTTTCTTGGGGAACATATTTGATTCGAAATAAACCATTTGGCTAACGTGTAGACAGTTTGCATTTTGTAAATTCAAACACTGAGAGGAAAACTTAGAAAGGGGAGGGCTAGAGAGATGGGGGTGGGGAGAAGAATTTTATCCTCTGGTTGCAGGATAATAAAAGATGCAATAAACCAGAACTAGCTTAGCCCCAAAGCTAGCAAGGGTTTACAAAGATTGTTTAATTGATTTTTCTTCTATTAAGATGCAGATCACACCGTCTGGGATTCAGAAACTCAGACACACGTCTTTGTGTCCGCGCAGCTCCGTGAGTCCCCTGTCTGAAGCTCGCACAATGCCAGGCGTGCACGTGCTCAGAGACATGCTGTTCCTTTTTGTCTAGGACTCTTGGGACTCGAACCTAGCTAGGAAAAGGCAAATCTCTTCCACGCTGTTTGAACATTTTAGATTTTGGAGTTTGAGATTCTCCTTACCTGAGCGCCAAACTAACCTTGGAGGAAAAAGGGTCACTCAAAGGCCCTCTTGAGAGAGGATTACAAAAGCCAGTGTTTAGGTTGGAAATGGGATATGCAACTTTGATTTTTTAATGAATTACAAACTCTGAGATCTCTCCATAGTCAAGGCCTTTACATGGGAGACAGAAGAAGGGGAATCCCTGATGAGGTCAGGAATAGCATGTTGGGTTTTTTTTTCTCCAGCAAACTTAATGGATATGATTTAAACAACAAGCAGGAAAACATTTGCTCTCTCTCTTTTCTCTCTCACCCAAGCTCAGTACGGTCTTCTCTCATGCCATCCCACTTAACACCTCTTCTCACCCTGAGATGAGAGTTGGCTGCCCAGGCTGACCTTGGGCTAAGGACAGCTGGACTAAACCCCAGCTGGGCAGGAGCCATTCTGCAGTTGTTCTGAGCCGACTAAGCTTGGGTGTGCCCTTCCACATTTCAATGATTCCTCCTCCCCCCCAAGTTGGGCTAAGCTTGGAACCTTAGAAGGGTGCCTTGGCCCCCCAAAGCCACAGGATCAGAGGTGCAAAGGCTCACAGAGGTTAGACAGGGCATGAGTGTGGAATGACTGGGTCAGTCATCTTGGGCCCAGCTTTCACCATATTTCATCTAAACCTAAACTGAACAAAGTTAGGGTACATCTGCATGAAGAACTTCAGTCTGACAAAGGACAGACAGCCCCAAATTCCATTGTAAAGAACAGAAAGTCCTTCCTTAAGATTCTATTTGTGAAGATAAAGATAGAACTTTGTATTTATCCAAGATAGCATGGGCTAATAGCAGAAGGGAGGATGAGGGGTAGATAAACTTTCTTAATTAGATCCCCATGTTCTAGAGATAATGGCTATGAAAAAGCTTCATTCAAAGTCAAGTCTTATACAAAGGCATTATTAATAGGGGGCTGGTGCTATGCTAGACCTGTGCTTTCACTGTAACAGGGAACTCCCAGATGAGGAAATTCCTCTCCCAATGCAGGTCAACATCTTCTCTGTAACTCCTAGTCTTAAAGGGTTGCCTAGAGTAGTGGGGTCAAACTACAAACCAGTGGGGTCAAATAACCAAACAGAAAGGGGGCCTCTAAATGTTGGTTCAGAAAACCACATATTAGGCTAGCATTATCTGTGTTCTATTTGTATTTTTATATAATTTGTTAGATATTTCCCAATTATATTTCAATCTGATTTAAGCACCAATTGGACACCCTCTGGCGAGAGATTAAATAACTTTCCAGGGACATAAGGGACAATACATGTCAGAGGTAGGACTTGAACCCAGGTCTTCCAGGCTCTGAGGCTGGGCTCCCTATCCACTATCCCATACTGCCCCCATTATTTATCATGAATACTGTTATTATTAAGCCCACTTTTTAGGTAAGTTGGTTAAAGTACAAAACTGATTTGGGGAACAATCCTTGTGGAGGCAAAAAGTCTCCCACAGAGATGCCCAAACATTGCAGTTGTCTTGTGGAGAAAGCCCATTCTGAGTAACGAACTCTGCCCGTTTCTGGCTTCGAATGTGGCACACTTCCTGCCCTTGGTGGCACAGCTTCCCACATGCAGAACATGGGCTAATTTCCAAGTGACAAAATCTATAGTAAATGCCCATAGCTAATGGTCGAGATTTAATAAGGAAAATTACAAACTGCACATATGGGATTACAGCTTCTTCCAGGTTCTCTAAATAAATTCTTCACTCTTAGCCAGGGGTGTCTTTCTTTCTTTGCTACATGTTATTTTCAGGTTGAAGGGGGCATATTTGCATAGGCACACAGTATTAGAAAGTATACTATTACCTGAACAGCAATCCAGCTGGCATTAACTGTATGTTCTCCAAACGGGCCAAATCCTGCAAGCAAAGAAGGAGCGTATCATGAGAACGCCATCATTCCCACCCAACCAGCAAGATGCAGTGTACTACATCTTTGTCTACCTTAAAGAGCCCCGGAATACCTGAGCGGGTCAAGGATTCTCTCCCCAGACCAGACTCAACGTGTGCCTACCAAAAAAGATGGCATGAAATAACATAACAATAGAAGAGGATTTTGGAGAACTGAGTCGTAATCAGAATAGAATGTCAAGGTAGGAGGTAGGAGAATGAGCTGAAGACTCAGATCAACAACCTGGGTTCAAATCCTGCCTTACCAACTTCATTATGGTTGCACGGTGAGGACAGGCAAGTCATTTAATTTCGGATTCCATATCAGTAAGATAAGGATAATAACACTTTTACTTCTTACCTCAGAGGGTTGTTGTGGGGAGAGTAATCTGTAAACCTTAAGTGCTATAGAAATGTGAGCTGCCAGTTTTGGCTCTGTAATTAATGAACTTTTCCCTTCCTCTTTCTGAGCCTTTGTTTACACATCTGTAAAATGAAGGGGTCAAACTTGATGACTGCTAAGATCCTTTCCTACCCTAATCATGACTCTATTATAACCAGCTCCCCAAAATGATCAGATTTATCCAAGTCACAAAGCAAATGGAAAAGAACCATACGTTTTCTAAATATACATTCTAAGAATCATGAAATACTATTTGAACTAGCTTCCACTGTTCCTGGTAGCGGAGAAGTCAGCTGCTGTCATAAAAGCAAGCATTTTTTGTCTTCAGAGTCCTGCTTCCTGACTCATCAGCTCAAATAATCTGTGTCTCCACAACAAGTCCACAAAATAACAACACTTCATCATAAGTACGACTCTTTACGGTTCGCACAGATGATTTCATTCTATCCCAACAACAGCTTTTGGAGCAATGTAATGCAAGGGTTAGCATTCCGATTTTACAAAGGAAGAAACGGGATTTTGGAGAGGGAATGCCATCTGCCTAAGGTCACCTGGTTAGTAAGCTGCAGAGTTGAAACTTCTGAGCCCCTTTCTGGGGTTCCCTAGTCCTGTGCTCTTTCCACAGCACCATGCTTCCAAGAAGTCAAGAAAGGGCTCATAGGAGGGACAAGGAAACAGCAGTTGGGTCCCTGACAAACAAACATGAAAGCATGAGGAAAAGTGAACAGGAAGCTGCTGATGGTTCTCCCAGAAGCTACAACCATTTGGTAAAAACCAGAGCCCACATTATGTTCTTTCCTTTTGATGAATAACCAAAGAGAAGTAGCTTTCCAATATAACCATCTTTCTTGTTGATGTCAACATGAATTAAGTTACTGGGATATATTCAAAATTGGGCAGACAAAAGTATCCAGAAGTGACTTGTGAGCATAAAACAACTATCCAGACACCCAAAAATGTTCTAAGCCACAAGGAAAGTATTAATCTTATCAACATAGGAGCAGATAAAGGACTATAGTTATAGAATGTGATTAGTTGAGAGGCCTTAATGGATCATAGGACTTTGTTTTGAAGTCTGATTGATTTTTGAAACTCTCCTGGTACCACCTGCCCTAGCCACAGCAAGAACCCTCTCCTGTAACAAAGAAACACACTGAAGGAAAACAAGTTAGCCCCTGGCATCATGTCTGACATTCTGTTCACCTGCCCCTACCCTTATACCTCCAGAGAGAAAAAAGTGATGCCTCAACAGACCTCTACAGTCAAGACTAGTCAGTGCATTACAAGTAACAGAATTTAGAGTAAGATAAAAAGCCAAATCTAAAGATAATCTAGTCCAATCCCCTTGTCACACAAGTGAAGAAGCTGAGGCCAAACAGGTTAAGTGACTTTCCCAAGGTCACACAGGGAGGGGCAGCTACGATTCAAACCCATGTCCTTTGACTCTACACTGGGCTTTTTTTTTCACTTCACCACTCTAATTATACAGAGGGGCAAAATGACAGTTTTTAATTTTTTTATTTTTGTGTTAGTCATGTTGTAAAGAAGAATTAGAACCAATAGGAGGAACCACAAGAAAGAAGAAACAAAACAGAAGGAAAAAAAAGAGCAAACAGTATGCTTTGATCTGCATTCAAACTCCATAGTTCTTTCTCTGGATGTGGATAGCATTTTCCATCATAAAACCTTTGGGGATGTCTTAGATCCTTGTATTGCTGAGAAGGGTTAAGTCTATCAAAGCTAGTCACTGCACAACGTGGCTGTTACCGTGTTCAATGTTCTCCTGGTTCTGCTCACTTCACTCAGCATCAATCCATACAAGTATTTCCAAGTTAAAATGTGGTTTTGAGAGCTTGTGATTTGCCCTGGCTCACACACAGAGCCAGATTAAGAGCCTAACATTTCATTACCCTGCCATCACTGCTGGATAAATGGGCATATGCCTGGAGAGGACCATCATTTTCAGATTGGGGAATATTTATAATTTGGTCTGGATGTGTGACTTTATATGGAAATACCTGCTGATGAAACTTTATAAACTTTCTCAACACTTCTGTAACCTAGACATTCTTTTTTCTTTTTAAACAGAACTGCCTGGGATGCTGAAAGGTTAAGTGACTAATCTACTGCCACACCAACTATCTATTAAGTGCCAGAGGAAAGGCTTGAATCTCAGGCTTCTGGACTTATTCCTAAGAGGGGCTGGTCCTCTAGCCACTGCCTCTGTTAGTAAAGTGCCTTATGAAGGGAAAAAGTAGACACCTGTTACCTGGGCATTCCCTTAAGACTGGCAACCACTCTATACTAATTTCACTTCATTTTAGGTAAACCAATTCATCCATTTTTTAACTCTGGCACACAAAACACTGTAAGAAAACAAACAAGAAAAAGATTAACAGTCACAAGAAGAAAAACGGTCTTGGGCCATCCCCACAAAAGTTTGTATAAAATCCTTCCAATGAATAAACTCATTTCAGAAGAAAAGAAAAGGAACTTTTAATTATAGGAAAGACAGACAGAATTGGCATTTCTTTCACTGGTAGAATAGTGGCATTCCCTACAGGAAGGCAAGGTGGCAAGGAGAAAGAATCAAGTGGATTTAAAAAAGTCAGAAGATCCAGGTTTGAGTCCTACTTTTGACTTCCTATCTGTAAGTCTGTTGACTCATTTGTAAATAATAGTTGCACTACCTATCTCATCAAATGGTTGTGAGGAAAGTGGTTTGCTACAGAAATGAAGGATTACTACTACAGATGGAGAAGGTCCATTTTTAATTTGCAAACTTCTCAGCAGCACAAGAAAACCAGTAGGTGCATGAGGATGGCCAAAGCCTCATCCCGGTTCATGCGAACTTTTGAAAACCCTCATCCTTTGAGCCTGCACATGGTCTCAGTCAATGCCATCAGATAAACAGCCCAGAACACCCAGAGAGCACCTTAGCATCATCTCCCTGGGGAGATAAGCACGTGATATAAAATAATTAGCAGCTTATCAGGTGCAAAAAACCTTGAAGGCACTGTCCCCTCCCCTTTCCCTCTCTTCCTACTCCCCTCCTCCAACCCCCCCCCAAACCAAACCCATGCATCTTTCTTAACAGAAAAACAAAACCAAAACTGCTTTTATTTTGGGAGGGCACCATTTCACTTTAGTTGAGATAGTATGCTAGACTCAAAACTAAAAAGGAGGGAGCGCCAAATAGGTCAGCCACGACTTTCAAACCTCTCCTACCCAGCCCCACCTCCCATATACCTAGAGGCAGAAAAGTTGTGTGTTTGGCCAGGTGCTTCCCTCTCTCTCTCTCCCATCTGTGAGGCAGGCAGGACCTTTGGCACTGGTGCCCCCCTGTAACGGACAATTCAGGTATGCGCAAGAGTTCACAGTACCTCCCACTTTCTCCCCTGAGTCACTGGTCTTAAACCTAGAGCAACACGTCCTTTCCCCCTCCCCATTCTACGTATCTCAAACACAAATCTCAACTTGGGCAGTGGTTAAAGGAACACTGAACAATTCTCGAGAGGGTTCATCTGTCAACGAGACGCCTTTCCCCCCACAAATCAACTTCTCCTTTTGTACTCTGGGGGACGTGGGGGTGGGGAAAGGCGACTTTCTGACAAGTCCACAGCAGCGGGGCAAGAGCCGGTCACTCCTTCCAAAGGCTGGTCACCACCCCCCCCGCCCCCGTCCGCTCCATTCTGTCACTTAGGGGCTGCTCCCCGGGGCGGGGGGGGGGCGAGGTGAGGTTGCTCCTGACCCTTTCCCTACAGTCGGGTGGTAGGAGGGGGCTATGAGGTTGGAGGGGAGAGTTGCGGTACTTCCATCCCACAACTGCTGAGAAACAGTTCCCTCCTCTCCAAAGCCAGTGAAGGCTGGAGGGGAAGGACAGGGAAGGAACGGATTCAACTTCAAGAAGCCCAAGGGACAGCGATCGGGAGACTGGTCAGGTGTGCCCAGAGCTGTCCCTTCGTTCAGAAGGCGCTCCCCAGGCCAAAACTGCCCCTTCCCCAGCGGGACCATTCTTACCGTCACCACCACTGCCTTCTTCGGCTGCTCCATCGCAGACACTGGCCGCAGCGGCCAACTCCAACGCCGACCCCTGCAGCTGCCGCTGCTGCCTGGGCTCCGCTGCAGTCTTGTCTTAACCCACCCGACCTGCCCCCGCCCCGCCCCGCCCCCTGTGCCCCGCCCCCTGTCCTCCCCTCTCTTCCCCAACCCGGAATGGACGCAGGCGTGCGCGTCCCCTAGACAGAGAACTAGGCATGCGCGTTCTCACCACTTGCTTCCTACGTCCTCGCCTTCCTCCCTCTCGGGGTTATGGGTTCTTTCCCCCATTCTCCACCCACACCCCACCCCCTAAGGCTGTGGGGCGCCTCTCGGGCTGCACCCTTACCAGGGGGAAATTTTACATTTAATTTTACATTTTACAGATGAGCTCTTGCCCCTTCCCCAGGTTATATAGGTAGTAAGTAGAGCCTCCCAGACTCTCACGTAGGGACTTTCCCTCTGATCTAGGGTTCCTTCCCCTCCCGAGGAGGTGGTTTTGGAATACTGAAGCCGCAGAGGAGGAGATAAGAGGCCGACTGCGGGCAGGGCTAGTCCCAAATCATGCGACTCCTGGCACTTGACCTACGACTCGGTTCAGATCGGTTCAGTTCAACAGATGTTTATTAGGAATCAAACTTACTCTTACTTATGTGCCCGGACCTGGGCTTGGCTCTGGGCACTGCACTGACCTTAAGAAGCATCGGATTCATGGCTGGAAGGGGCAGCTATTGATTTAGCTAGCCAGTCTCCCTCATTTTACAGACATTGAGTCAGAGAAGATAAGTTTGAATCCCGGTCCTGACTTCAAATTTAGGGGATCTTTTCATTACCTTATTGACGGTCTGATTGGTGAGATAAGACAACACGATAAACAACTAAAACACGGCAGGTGACTTGGAGAGGTGCTACAAAGCGCTGAGTGAGATTGTGGAAGAGAGGTTACTTTACAGAACCTTATTGTTTGTTGTCATTCCGTTGTGTCCAACATTTTGTAACCCCATTTGGGATTTTCTTGGCAGAGATGCTAGAGTAGTTTGCTATGTCCTTCTCCCGCTTAACTTACAAATAAGGAAACTGAGGCAAACAGGGTTCAGTGACTTGCCCAGGGATGCACAGCTAGTAAGTGTCTGAGGTCGGATCTGAACCCAGGAAGATGAGTCTTCCTGACTCTAAGCCCTGAACTTTATCCACTGCACCTCCCGGCTGCCCCTTTCAGAATATTTCTTAACATTTTCAGCTTAAGGCTTTAAATATGCTTCCACAGTATTAATAATTTTTCTTTAACCATGGAAATCCTTATGGGAGGAAGCTGGTATCTAATCTGGGCAGTTCAACTGGACTGAAGGGGGATGGAGACAGGGAAGTTAATTTACAGGTCAAAACCATGACAGGAACAAAGATCTAGAGACTGGGAGTCTTGTTTGGTAAGACAGCAGATGTTTTGAAGGGGAATATTGGGAGATATTGTTGGAAAGGTAGAGAGGAATCAGATTGTGTAAAGGTTTGAATGCCAGACTAGGCAGTTTGGGCTTTATTCAGTCGGCAGTGTAAAACCCAGGGCAGCTAGGTGGCAATGGATTTCAATCCAGCCTCAGACACTTAGTAAGCTGTGTGACCCTGGGAAAGGGTCACTGAATGGGCTGGAGAAGGAAATGGCAAACCACTCCAGTGTCTTGGCCAAGAAAACCCCAAAAAGGGGGTCACGAAGAGTTGGACAAGACTGACATGCAATGCAAAACCACTGAAGCCATGATGAAGATGGTTCTGGCAGTATTATGAAGAGACCAGAGGCAGACAGACATTGCCTCCTGATCGATTTTGTCCAGCCTTTAGTCCAGAGATGATGAGACTGGCCCTAAGGGGGCTCAGCCATTTTCTGATGACCAGGCAGGATTCCTTCTCAGCCTAGAGAAGGCCCTGCTTTCAGGTTGGGGCCAGGGGTCACCAGGGCGGGATTGGGGAGGAAGGAGAAGGAAAGCTGGAGCTACTAAGCCCAGGCATAGTAGGAGATAGAGCCAGCCAGCTACAGTAAGTACAGAGAACACCCCTGAGCAGTGGAGTAGAGCTGAGGCCTCTGGAACTAGGGCCAGCTTAAGCAAGTCAATCTCCTTTGCTTTCGAATTTCCTCAGGAGGAGAGTGAAGGGAACTTTTCCCTTTCTCCTCCTCCAAAAGCCAGGCTTCACTGCTGCCTCATCTCCAAGGGACTTTCTCTACCATTCCACAAAAGCCTCTTCACCTAGGAAACTCACTCCACACCTGGACTACTTCTCTTATTGGAAGTACCCTTCTCCTCTTTTGGCCTCTCCCTCTGATTGACTGGTTCTTCCCTGAATCTCCATTTCAAGGAGGAGGCCTGGGCAAACCATGTCTTCATTCCTCTCCAGGCTTCAGTCAACTCATCTCCACAGGACTCTTCTCTACCATGCCCCCTTGCCAGGTACCTTCCCACTACTCCCCATCCTTCAGCTCCCTTTTATGTGTCTTCTTTCCCCATTAGAATGTGAACTCCACGGCTGAGGACTGTCTTTCTTTCTCCTTCTATTTATATTCCCAGAGCTTAGCACAGTGCCTGGCACATTATAAGCACTTTAAAATGCTAGCTGACTTGAAAGGAATGGAAATGAAAAGAAAGACCAATTCAAGAAATATTTGTGAAAGATTTCCCACTATCCTCCCTTTTCCCCATCTCATTTACCCTGAATCCTCCAAGTTTACATCGTCCCATCCCACCCACGGAGCTCAACAGAGTTGACATCAACACCTTAAAAGATCTTTATAGTTTTCAAAGAGTTTTCACAGACATCTCATAAAAGTCACAACATTGTGAGGGAAGCCCAACGGTAGCTACCATTTCCGTTTTACAGATGAAGAAACTGCAACTCAGAAAGGAAAAATGACTTGCTGGAGTCATCCAGGGTCATTAAGCTTCCTTGAGCTTAGTAAATGCTTGTTGGCTGAACAACTTGCCATTTCACCCTCCCCCCCAAAAATTTACCTGGTACTTTGTGTTTATTTACTGTTGTTTTTTTTTTACTGTTTACTGATCAATGTACTTGATGTTTCATCCCAATAAATAAAAGATTAAATGAGATAATCTTTGTAAAGTGCTTAGCACAATCCAAGTACATAGTAGGCACTTAAGGAATGCTTGTTCTCTCCCCTGATAATGGAAGCTCCTTGACAGCAGAGATGAATTTCATTTTTGTCTTAGTGTTTCCTCCATCTAAAATGTAGTCAGAGAAGCTAGAGTTAAGTCTAGCCTCTGTCCTATGCTAGTTGTGTGACCATGGGTAAATTGCTTAACTTCTCAGTACTCTAGACAAACTAACTCTGAAAATGCCTATAAAGTGACAAGCAACAAACACTGATTAAGCACCTACTATGTGCTACACTGTGTAAGGCTCTAAGATGCAAAGACAAGATAATACAACACTAGATACATTCATTTTCTTTACCACACTTTGGTCCCCAAGGAGGGGGCCTCCTTGTGTCTCCTTCTTGTAATAGGGCTAGGCTAGAAAGAGATATAGCAGGGGTCTAGGAAGGTTAGTCTTGCAGTGACAGCCTAGGGTCATGAGTCTATGTTTTGATTTCTACTACACTTTGACAAAGCTAGAAGAAATCCTAGGACCAAAGTATATCAGAGCTAGAAGAGCCTTAGATCATAAAACATGGAATGTCAGTGGAGGAAATGACCTTAGAACATGAAAGAGCAGAAACAATTTAATCCAATTTGCTTATTTTTACAGATGAGGCAACGGAAGCCCATTGGGGAAGAAGGCATTCCTTTAAGGTCATGTAGCTAGTTATATAGAAGAGTCAAAAGGAGAGTGCTGGTTCCCATTCCTGGTTCAATGCTCTTCCCATTATACCATGTAGCCTCTTTTTTATTCCTTGAAATTGGGTTGTCTTTGGTTCTTAAAGAGGACCCAACTGACCTTGTTATGTTGCGGTTAAGGTACAGTGTGTCCCACTGTGACTGATCAGACCAGTTCTAGTTCAGAAGGCTCTACTACACTTTGGGCACAAATAATCCACATAAACATTTGGAGTAGAAATGTCTCTAAATTTGTGCATATCACATTTCTTTTGAGTGGCTGAAATTCTGCTTTCTCATAGAACACAAGGCCTTCTTTGATGCAGGCATGCCATGCTGGGTGGTTTGACAGTATCTCTCATGTGATGCAATCGATTCCAAAGTTTTTCAGAGACCTTAAGAGTCTCCTTGTATCACTTCATCTGACCTCCATGTGAGTGCTTGCCTTGTGTGAGTTCTCCATAAAGTAGTCTATTTGGCAAATGTAGGTTTAACATTTGAACAACATGGCCAGCCCACAGGAGTTGTATTTTCTGCAGTAGAGTTTGAATGTTTGGAAGTTTAGCTCAAGAAAGGACCTCAGTGTCTGGTTTATCTTGCCAGGTGACCTCCAGAATCTTCCTAAGACAATTCAAATGGAAGCAATTCAGTTTTCTGCCATAGACTGGTATACTGTCCAGGTTTCACAGACATACAACAACGAGTTCAGTGCAATGGCTCTGTAGACCTTCAGTTTGGTAGGCAGCCTCTTCTCTCCCAAACTTTTTTTTTTTGACTTTTGTATTTTTATTCCCAGTGCTTGGTACAGAACAAGTACTTATACATTTTTTTGTTCATTTATTGCTTCAATAACTTACTCATTAGTTAATTTATTCATTGTTTTGCTTTTTGCTTTTGTATCCCCAACACTCAGTACATAAAGTTCTTTTGTCCATTCCTTTAATCATTCATTCTCTAAGTCACTTATTCATTCATTAGTTCACTTCATCCATTTATTCCCTTCTTGATTGAATTTCACCTAAGCTAGTTTTTGTTATCTGAGTGGATCAGGAATTCACTTCCTCATCAAATTAAGTTCTTTGGCTCCTAGGTTCCTGACATGATAAGGGGTTCTCTTGCCAAGACTAAACTTTGGTTTTGCTGGCTGATTGCCAGGGAATGCCCCCATCCCACCCCACTGCATCCAGAGCAAAACTAAAAACAAACAGGTACAAAGTACAATTACTTTTTGGACTTAGGTATTTGCAAAGCCTGGTGGGGATGGTTGGCAGTGGACCTCCTGGA